TATATATAATTAAAGTTTAAGATACTTGCGGTAAAAAATGGCACCAGCCGTTTTACTCCTGCACCTTGCTGTAACTTTTGGTAAGTTTATGGTAATGTAATGTTACTATGTAACCGCAATTATCTCGAGTGATTCTGCAAATGTATATTAAGAAACAAAATGCTATGGACAATAAACTTATGACGCCAAGCTCACGATCTCAATTTTTTTTTTAAGCTTATAATAACTTTCCGGCACTCCTTTCTTTTTGGTTCTTCTTTTTTTGATTCAAAACGTTGTCCATGAATATTTTGAATAGTCTCGTGTGTTTCAAACCTCTCTGCGATATTATCTTTGTACTTCTACCTTATCACACTTCCCACAGTATCTCAATTTTGTATCAAAAGTTAATTTTGGTCGACTCATTGGTCTGAATAATTACACTCCACAAATTATAAAGTTATGACCCATTAAATAGTGCAAACATGCTTTTAAGGTATACGGTATATATATATATATAATTTGAGCTCTTTTTTGTGACGTTTTTTTAAGACCGGCAAGAATAGATATTTTAATAACATCCTTTGAATTTACTAAATGTGTCATCCCTGACAATCATGTTTATTTAATGTGAGCACCATTCATTGTGATTGATTGCGACCTTAATAAAGAAAATAATTCTTATTTTCTTCAATTAAGTTGAAACTCTCCGACCCCGGTACAGGGTCACCATTAACTAAACTATCTGTGTCATTACCTGATTTAATAATTGTACCGTAATCATAAAGTTATACATGTACGTAATATTGAAATCAGTAAATGATTTACTCCTTAACATTTGGTGACGTGCCTTCGACCGATCAATGGCAACTACTTTACACAAACCATATAGTAATTTCACAAAATATCTAGAACTCACGCGACACAGGTCTGCAAATAGAAAAAAAACGTACATCTATGTTTGCTCAGTCAGGCCAATTCTAATACTGATTCTAGATGACTCTGCGAAAAAAGGACAGAGCAATCAATGCATCATGGTCAAAGACGTTTCGTCTGGAGGACTTATAGTAGGGAACGCGAGTGAATAACAACGAACACTTGTCCGTTTTCTATGGATAAATGAATAGCTAGGCAGGATAGCATACACACAGTCATCGAGATCTCCTATTGACACTACATACTGCGAACATGGTACGTTATGTTAAATAAAAACTGTCGACACTTCTACTACAAGCTATATCTCTGTTCGTTCTGTTGTTATTGTTGTTGCCGTTCCCTGCCATCTTTTGTCGGTAACCCACTATTTGAGACAGAGATGGAGTTCCTACCCGTTTCGCTGCTTTGCGTTAGCTGCTTCGGGGTCTTCGTCGATTCTGATAGTTTACTAGGTACGGGCATATGGCATTAGACTTCATTGTAGTCACTACATTATGGTCTAAAGATCGCTCCTGACTGGTTGAACGCTCGTTGCGCATTACGTGACTTCTCGTGATGGTGATCACAAAACCTTAAAGCTGGTATCAGTATAGACGCCAGAGCTACACATCGCGCTGAAGAACTCGTTATAATAAAAACCTTGGTAGCACTGCAGCCACTGACGTAGTTCGCAGAGAACCGCTATATTGTCATGCCTGCACCTACACGTTTGGATAAACACATGCAAATGCATAAAAAGCGGAAAGCTAAAAGTAAAATGATACACTAAAAACATTTATTCGAAACGGGAAAAAATTTATATTTAATGATCTGCTATGTGTAACAAACCGGATTGACGAAAAGAGAAAAGTTCTGGAGTGTTTAATTGTAACAGCATTACTTATATCTAGCGATTTCAAGTCGCTTTCCGTTAAATGTACATGTATTCTTTTAGGCAGCTAAAACTGCGATCCGATGCCAGCGTATTCTGGGAAATTTCACGAAGTCTAGTGAGCCGGCGCATATGCAATCGACATTGCAGTTCTGCTATCAATAATTCAGTGCGATAAAGCAAAGGACCTAGACTCATGGTAAAAAAATCAATCTACAATAATTTCTTATCAGGATAGTTTTAGCTGTTGTTGAATTTGAAGAATGAACACTTGCAACCTATAAAATCATCTGCAAGTTGGAATCATATATACATCGTCTAGTTCTGAGCAGATTTAAAAACTGATCAATTCAAACTTGAAACAAATAGAATGTTTTGGTTTCCTGTTTTCGTTCTGATACAGTGCAATCCTTGATTTTTATATTCCGTACGTTTTCGCGCAGACGATTCCCACTTAGATATAACCACTCTGCTTTCAAGGTCCACCTAATACAAGAGACTCTCTGATTCAAACGTGCATTTTTACTTATATATTTTCTAGTTTACTTAGCTATGCGAAACTATACACGTACTAATTACTATTATCGCAGCGGATAATCGCCAGAGGCATTATTATAACATTAGAGGCAGTAACATTAGTGGCAGCCTTTTTCCATGATATCTAACCCCACACAAGTTAAGCCGCAAAACTGTGCAGTGCCTTCTAGTTACATTGAGATTCAGTGCTCCATTATAGTCTCTGTTATATCTGTCCTAACCGTCATCCATTCCGATTCATAATTGCTGTCGTCAGCATTTTTTTGTCGAATGTTTATTGCTGTCATACCGATGAATCGTCCAGCGCAGTGACGAAGACGATGACGACACTTAGACAAACACAGTCGTCTATCGATGTTGAAGGTAATACCGCTAGCAACTAAGTACCTAGTACTCCATATCGTAACCCACTATTGGTTGCTTGGCCGATATTATCACACTATTCGGTCTTATTTGTTTGCCTATAGTTTTTTTAATTGGACTGCGTAGGTAGGTAACCGATGAACTTAACCGACATTCTGAACGATCTTTACCACTTATTACTGCTAACTATTACTTACTTTCTCGGAGTAACAAATGACAACACACATCATTCCTGCAAAAAAAAAAACGCGACCGTGTGTGGTTTTCGCAACCGAAATATTTATATAGGTAATAGACATGAATTCAGGTACAATCTAGATAGAAGATTCTGTTGGATGGAACTATTCTATTTAACAAACGGTGATATCAAAATAGTAGCAAAGTTAAGGGTTGCTGCATAAGCGGTTACATAGCACACACACAAATAATAAACACGTAAATAACTGTATCATTAAATATATAAACAAACCGATGTAATAATCTCAGTAAATATATTGATTAGGCAAGTTATAGAACGTGGCAGGATCATTGTGTGTGCAGCTTACGAAGCGAAAGTTCCCTGTCCAATATTGACCGCTCTCCTTGTATTTACTACGGAATTACTACACAGGTGACAGTGTCTCTGTAAACTGTATAATCCAGTTATTGCAGGCGGTTGCGGATTGTCGTATGTCAAGTCACAGAATGGCAGAAATGTTTGTATATATTATCACTTTAGCGTAATTCGTCTGCTAACGCTAGATTTTTCATTGATCAAGAAGGATGCCAATGGGAGACTCTCACTACATATAGAATCTGCGATGTAGAACATTCTTCGGGGCCAAAACATGGGTGACTCGTAAAAGACTTGATGAGTCAAGGTGCTAGATCGAACCATTCATCTACGTTAACAGAATAAATACCTTTTGCTGCAAATACAACTAACAAGATAAAGTATTTGCAAAAATGGTTTCAAACCTCCTATGAAATAAGCAAAAATTAAACAATATTTTTCTATTGGTAAGTCCACAGGTACTAACTAATAGAATTAATTCAAATTAGTATTTTTGGTTCCCACTGTCTTTATATGAGTTAACGGCCAACTGGTAAAGGTAACACTGGTCGCGTAATATTTGAAAATATGCATTTATCCGATCGTAATAGTTAGTTGAATTATGTATCGTACATTAATACAGACATGTATATTCGAGGTAGAGCGATCAACTGTGCCAAATTCTTACGCTGAAATCCGGGCTATTTCTTGACACATTTTGCGTGCTCGTCTTTTTGCCATTCCTTTGGTCTCCGTTTGGCGTAGTCAAACACTCTTTACTGGTTTGCGAACAGCATTTGAATTAAGTCTTCGTATAGTCTACCTATCGATTCCGGCAGCACCATTGGAGACGCAAGCAAATCCCTTGACGGCCGCGCGGTTCCTTATCTGACCGCTATATCACTCTTTGAAAGGCTTTAGAATTCCGCATGTTTTTAGGAAAGGCTTATCAATTTCAGGAACACTCGGGAAACGTATGCCCTAAACCGCTAACGTTAGCAAGCTTAGTCGCTAGATAGGATCTTTGCCGAAACGCGTTCAAAGGTTTTAATTGAATGGGCCCGGGCAGATTGAGGTTAAGTGGCTTAGTAATTCCTTCCTGTTCATGAAACATTCTAGAATGAATGAAGTCAAATGTTTATTGTTTCCTCTATCAATCAGGTCAGTAGTTGCCGACACTAGAGATATTGCAATTATACAATATCAACATTAACATAGCCGATCCCATTGTAAAATAAAGGCCTGACTTGGGCGAAAGACATAGTTACGCAAAGTTCTAACTAATGCTTAGTCTTCTGTGAATGGCAGTCTGCAAAAATTATTATGTCTGGGCACCTCAGGAACTAATGACAGGCAGTCTTCTTTCGTATATATGTACTGTGCGCGCTGTATATGAATACGGCGGACATTAGACAATTGACAAAAACGCCCCCGCAGAGCTTCTCTACAAATGACCTAAGAATGAACGGAGGCTCTCGTCATAAATAATTCGACCATACGTACAAGTGGTGCCGACCTGTTTTATTATATTAACGGAATCGGTTAGGCCATACCGGGCGCATCGCTTCCTCCCACTTTCATTGAGAATGATTACTTTTCAAGTTTGAACGAATATCGAAACAACAATTTTTTTATTATATTAAACAAACAGTTTGCTTGTCAACCTGTTTATTGTGGTATAATTTCTCTCGAATACCTGGATCGAAGTCATAATTTGTCGCTAAAAAGAGGCTTTGTGTAATATAAATTAGAGGGAATATTTTTTTGAACGCTCACTTATATTACTATTATCTTGTTTCATTTGTGCGCGAACGCTATTTTAAAAATCGATATGTTTGACACAACGGAAAACATTTAATCAAGTCAAACCGGCAAGTTTGTGGCCTTCAACAACCCAGCTCTCAATTAAATTTCGTTCTATTTATGATAGGAGTTAACTTTTGGTAAATAAATATTGTTAAAAAAGAATCGCTATTTTACACTGAATATGAGCCATTCTGATTGATAGCCTTTCTTTCCGATACTACCATAATTTCATCATTTTAAAGCTTCTGTGGTTTCTGGGCGAAAAACTGACAAATGCTTTTACAGCCGTCGATTATAATCAATTAAACATCATTGAGGAAGTTCATCAGGGACCGAAACAGGTCATGATGATGGTCTGACGGCGCAAGTGCTATACAGCAGATATATTCAAATTTATCATTCGAGCTTTTTAAATTCTTGTCGGATAGCTAAAGACCTATGTACGTCCAGCATTATAACATAAAACGGCGCCTTTTCTGTTCGCTAGTTCTGGCTGATTTTTTTCGATGGTCTGTTGTAGACCGTTTCGGCGATCGGTAATAACCCACAATGTACGATTCCTGTCCAGTCCCACAAAACACACAGGATTGCCTTAATCGATGCCACTCAAATTATAGAGTACAACTTTTTTTTTATTTGCATGACTGTTGTATATAATCCACTTTCATCACCCGCTTCAATCAACCGCTTCAGAAACTGCTTTGAACATCTGTAAGGTTCTGCAGATACTAATATGAACAAGCACATTTTTTGCCGGACACCGATTTTTTAGTGTTAGCATATTTCAAATGGTCTAAGACTGTTTGGCGGTTGATGTCTGGTTTTTTGGCGTCATCCTGGCTACTCACGTACCGTTCTCGTCCAACTTCATATTTTTTGTGATAAAATTGTATCGTAGCAGCTGTAGATAATAGCAACGCCGGTTGGATTCCTACTATACCTGCTATCAATGACGTCAAAACTATTTAGAAACAAAGGAAAACAATCAATACTTTCTCGACAGCATAATATATTAACTTCTTTTTTATACAGTCAGAATCAGAAGTGTCCGTTACCGTTAGTGAATTAATATATTCTAGAATAGTAATAATAATAATCCGCTTTTGGAACTTCTATTTACAAAACTTACAGACAATTATAATTTTTATTTCGCGTGCATTTTTTTCCGTAAACTTTTCAAGCAACTCCCGCAATTACTATCCCGTATCGATACCTTCCGTTGCATTTCCTTTAAAAAAAAATACGGCTTCACTGGGGTATATCAACGTAGATCTGTAGCAAATCTGATGTAGTAGATCTTTGAGTTATAATAAAGCTGCGATTCATGGTGACTGACTGGTGGATTTAGCTTGATTTTGTGCTTCAGATGTTCTTATCATTCCTTTATTATTAGGCAGCTTCTTTAATCAACTCGCGATTATCAGTGTTCAACACAGCTCTTCCACTATAGATTTTATTTGTAGAAGTTATTGTGTTAGGCAGTTGGGCGCGCACAGCATAATTCTTCTACTAGACAATTACAGATTCATCAAATGATGTTCTGCGTGAAATCTCTTATCTCAACGTAAACGCTTCCGCCCTTATCACAAATTCTTTGAGGATTTTCCAGATCCAAGGGCTCGAACCCTCTGAATAGCCAAAAATCTTATTCGTTTGAGATCAAGTCTTCTGCTTATCCTTCTATAACACATTTTGAATTCAACATTGAGGATATCAAACCCAAATGTAAACACTATGTAGCAATGAAGGCCAGCCATAAGGAGCAATTGTAGACATCAAATTCAAAGACATAGACTTTGATCACTAATTCTTATTCGCTAATACTTCTTATTCGGCAGTTTCTGCCTAAATATTCACGAAATATTTGTATGTAAAACAACTACAAAGTGCTGATAGTACTTCTCATTTACGTTTTTTATTTTTTAATTAATCACCTTTCGTTCCGTCTTTTGTCTTGTTTTACATAGTCACTGTACTCGTTCCTAACTTCGAATCGTATTAATTTGAAATAACATCGTAAACGCATGGCTTCACTCGTGATAGCTAAGGGTATTCCGCTATGCTGATGAAAAATAAGTAAAGAAAAACTGAATTATAGCGGCAAATAACACATGGTGCAACGAAATGGGTATGGCGCGCGTAACCACAAGATCTTCGGTTTCATCCCCAGTTAAAATTCAATGAATTCTTTTTTATAAAATTACAATTTCAGCAGCTACGTTTGTCCAAAGTGATTGTTTTTATTGGCTAAGTTTTGAAGTGAGCGTTCCGATTGAATTCTTGGAAAAAGCATTGTAGTGTCAATTCCCCGCCAAGCTGCGATCTTCAAGTCAGTGAAGATTTATACTTTTTATCGCCCACCTAATTCACTGACTTTTTTTAAAGTACGAGTGTGAACTCAATTTTTGTGGTGAACCAGTACGGCCGAATCTTGTAGAGTAAGCAAGAACAATGATACAGCGACTAAGCAAACTGCAACTTAAAAAAAGACCTACTGCGAAAAGAGCATTTCAGGCTACGTTTTACGTAACTTCAACTAGAAATTGTGAGCTTAGATGAAGGGAAGATCACACGAAGAGAGCGCTG